AGTTTAGTAAGTACCTATATTAATTATCCAGTTTAAAAAAATAAGAGTTGAAGTAGTTTTTTTTACACGAAGAATTATTTAGCTAGACATTTCGAAACTGTGGTAGTTTACTAGATTACAAAGGTGGTGTTATTATTTGGTGAGAAAAATATCGTGATTTCAAACGAAAGCTGTGATTGTGTCAAATGTATGGGAAAGTTGTCAATTATAGTTGTTTGCAGGTTCTTGGGTAGTAAATAACAATTGCTTTTGTGGTGACGAGGTCAGATGAAGATGTTTGTAATGTTGTCATTTTGGTTTTTATTGAAAGTTTTCTTTTATTTTCTAAGGAAGAGAGGGATATAGCTTATTTGATGCCAGGTATTGTATTATCAGTGGCGAAACTACAGTGTAGCAAGATGGCAAAATGTCTTAGGCCCCCAATCGGAAGGAGCCCCCGATTAGAGGTTTTAATCTGAGCTTGTTTGTTTTTTATTGGAAACGGGGTCCTATCTGATGAATTTGCCACGGGCCCCGAAAGGTATGGTTACGTCCAGTTACGCCACTGTATGTACATACCTGTGCTAATATTGGACTATCATCATCATCAACAGCCGAAAGACGTTCACTGCTGGACAAAGGCCTCCCCCCATCCTCCACGTCGAACGACAACTCTCTACTTGCATCCAGTGGATCCCCGTAACTCTGGCGATATCGTTTTTCCACCGAGCGGGAGGCCAAGCCGCCTGCCAAGCGTAGGGATTAGGGCAACCGGGCCCTTCACTATTGGACTATTGGTCCCATTGGTGTACATTTTACCAACCAATCCCTCCGCCCTTCATCATATTCGTAGGCCAGCAAGGCACTTGCACCACCTCTGGTGTTGCGGGTGTCTATAGGCGACGCTGCATGCTGATTACATATCAGCAGGTGATCCGTTGGCTTGTTTACTCCCTTATCCTAGAAAAAAAAACAATCATTGGAACATAGTACCTCCTCCTTTTTTACCGACTTCAAAAAAAGGAGGAGGTACTATGTTCGGCTGATTGTTTTTTTTTTGTTTTTCGCGCAGTACTCCGCCATTTGTGAACCGATTTCCAAAATTCTTGTTTTGTTTGAAAGGGTATACTCCCGAGATGGTCCCATTTCCATGAGGTCAGGATCTGATGATGGGATCCTAGGGAAACCGAGGGGAACTTTCGAAAATTCTATGGGCAAGTAATGCGTCTATTATGTTTTTCAATTAGGATTTTGAAACACTACAATTTGATAAGGGTCTGGCGTTGACCTGATGATGGAGCCGACAGGCAGTCGAGGGAACTCCTCAGCGGTTTATATTAACTACCTTGAGTTTGGGCTTGATTAATTTGGATTGATGACGACTTTACACCTAAATAGAGTAGGGCTGTCATTTTAAGGATCTGATGATGAAGAAGTGTAATTGTTAAAGGAACTCCTTAACGGTATACAGTAACTACCTTGTGTTTGGGCTTGATTAATTTGTATTGATTAGAACTTTGCACCTATGTAGATTATAAGTAACAAAACGGGTATATGTAGCTTTACACTGAAAATGATAAAATAATAAAATAAAAACTGCGTTTAAAAAACCGACTTCAAAAAAACCAAAAACTAATAACAAACAAAAAGTCAAAACTAAAAAGCAAAAAATAACTATGATTAGTACTGATAGATTACCCACCCACTGATAGGTAAGAAGTCGGTGCCATAAGTTCCATACAAAATTATTCATTAAAACCTTAATAGGTACCTAATTCACATTTATGTGGACATTAAGTTATATCATTATGATATGATCTTATGGCACCGACTTCTAACCTATCAGTGGGTGGGTAATCTATCAGTACTAATCATAGTTATTTTTTGCTTTTTAGTTTTGACTTTTTGTTTGTTATTAGTTTTTGGTTTTTTTGAAGTCGGTTTTTTTTGAAGTCAATAAAAAGAAAATTACCTTCCCATTACGGTACGTGCCAACTAGTAAAATTCAATATTTTTTTCGAACTGTCAAAATCGATAGTTTTCTATGAATTTTATACGAGATTGTGTATTTATGACGTCACGTTTTTTTAGAGTCAAACAGCATACTTAATTCTTAAAAATTTGCTGGAAAAATACTAAAATTAAGTTTAGTCATAAATTCAATTAATGAAAGTGGCATTATTTATCTATATTTTATTATATTGAACAGTCAAAATAATTAATTTTAGATTAAGGAAAGTACCCAATAGAACTATGCTGATTTGTTCTATATTTTTTTATTATAGATTCGTGTAGCTACGTGAGAAGTACTTAATAACGTTTATGTTTTCAGCATATCCAGCTATAAATAAAATATGTACAAACATGAATGAAACGAATATAAAATGGATTAATCGCTACCTGCTATTAATTTATGCTTTCCTGGTACTTCTATACGAGGAGTTTACGATCTATGCACAATTTTTGCATTAACAGGCATGTATATATAATTATTATGTTATCTAGCTTATGGAAGCAAGTATGAGTCGAGTGTAGTTCTCAGGTTCGGTTCCCGAATCGGGTAAAGTTTTACTGAAATTATCTTTTTACGTAAATCGATAGGTCGATAGATTAGATAAGACTAAAGTCCACAGCCCAGCAGTAGTAGACTACCTCGGGCTTGTTTCGATGATAGAAGGACTCTAATACGATTTTAATGAACATTGTAAGACGGGAATATCCTCATCATATTTTTAAATAATTTGTCTTTAATGAACCTATTAGGTGAATGTTAATATAAGTTTCATCACTCTTGTTTGAAAAACAGAACTCTTCGTCTACCTTAGTTCAGCACAAGTGACATAACTTGGTCGTGGTGGCCCGGAGGTTTAGACGCCCGCTTCTCATGGATGAGTGTGCGTGATCAAAACCTACCAATAGCAAGTACCTACCAATGTGACTTTTTCCAAATTATATGTACAAGATTATTTAGATTCCACTGACAAACGGTGAAGAAAAACATCGTAAAGAAACCTGGACTTAAAATTTCTAATTAATAGGTTGAAATTGTCAACACGCATTGAGCAAACGTGGTGATGAATGCTCAATCCTTCTCCTCGTGAGAAGAGGCCTTTGGTCAGCAGTGGGCACTTATAAGCTGTTGATGTGTAATGTAACTTGTAACTTTTGTTTTGTTTCTTTGCACACATAACAAACTTGACTCATGCCACTAAACTCTAACAAAAGCCTAAGTGTAAACGTGCACTTGTACATTAGGAGCGGGAAGCGACCATACCATTTGTCCTTACCCATACACTTTGCATGCAACTTACACAAATGTTAATTCCCCTAACGTTCTAAGTAACTTATTACTATAACTATAAATTTTCATGGTAATTGGCAGTTTAATGGAAAATCTTAGGCACTTGCATTTGAAAAGACGTTTATTTAAACTTCAGTACAGCGACCTCTGTTGATGAATTTCAGGAAGTGTTACCGCCATCTAGTGGGGAGTAGCATAACTATACATTTGTTCAGTTTAACGACCATACAGCCCAGTTATTGAAAAACCGTAAAATATTTATGAAAATAATAATAGTTGTTCAATAATGTTGATTGAAAACGAGAACATCTTTAAAATTGCTGTTTCGTATCCTGCTAAATCTGCAATTTAAAATATTTCAACTAAGGTTAAAGTCGGACGTGAAATTAATGATCCCGACTCGACTCGGGCAAAACGTAATAAACCACTCGCCACTTTGATTTATTTACCGCAAATAATAATTAAGACTGTCCCATTAGTTGGTCGTAGACACCATCAATCTCTCGCAGTTAGGGGTTTCTTAGAACGGTCATCTATTACTCGAAGATAGAACTATTTCTCAAATGGTGTCTAAATGTAAACATTTGATTGAAACCGTTATATTCGATTTAAGGCTTGGCATGTTAAAAATGATTATTTGAGGAACGGGAATCAAACATGAGACCTTAATATTTTTTTTTTCAGTAGTGTGGCCTATTTTTGCCACTTTTCGGCTTTAAATTTATGTATGAAAGAAAAAAATGCATTTGCTGGTACGCATTTTTAGAAATGACACATTTTTTTAAATTCCTATTTTTTATACTATCCCAAAAATCAAACCAATAATAAATATTGAAATTCACAAACAAAAACAAAGCTGTACTGGCACTCGGATACCAGGAGCGCATGAACAGCAAAGACAATTAATATTTATCTCCGGTAGTGTATTTACTCATAATGCATGCTGGCCATGCGACTGGCTGCTTGGAGAATGACAATGTAATTAGCTGCACCTGTTGCTTACCTACAGGAATACCTTGGGTTCCTTGTACTTTACACTTCACTATCACGACCGAAATAATATTAGTTAGGGCAGTTTCGAAACCCTTCTGTGTTTATTAATTACAGTCAGTAGTTTTGAAGTAGGATAAAATAGTTAGATACAACTGGGATTTGGGAATTGGGAACAATTCGGATCAAAAAAGTATATTTCTAACATTGTAATTTTTTGTTTTAGAAATAAAAATAGAAAAAATATATTTAACCGATAGAGGTATGTAGGACAGTAGGAATCGAAGTAATTGGCGTTCCATAGTCTCTGCCTACCCCCATGGGAGACAGGCGTGAAGTTATGTATGTATATAAATAAAAATCTCAACATATTGAACAAAAACGTTTATTAATAAAATAAATGTATGCATTCAACATAAGTATGAAATAACATAACCAACCAAGGATTAAATACTAAATTAAGAAGAGTTAGAATGATCTAAAATGGCGTTAAACATTAATAACAAATAAACAAAATAAGAAAAAAACGCTATTCAAAATCCGATTGTAATAGTGTATAAATATTTGCCCAATGTTAATGAAAATGAATATACCAGCTAACATTAAGATTATGGTACAATAACTTGCAAACTGTATCGGTACCAGGATTCCATGTTTCACAAGTAGTCATATATTATGATCTTCTTTATCTTGCTTTTCCTCAGCTTTTAAAGCCTTTTCCACTAAGGTATTTACGTCATTTACGTCTAAAACCGTAGAAGGGGTGTGCCCTCCTGTACTAAAATGTCTTTTATAGTAAGGCTTCTTCGCCTTCCCGACTCCTGCGTTCAAATAATTCCATTTCGGTCCATACATCTTCGTTTCTTTACTCAATTTCTTAGATTGCTTGGTATGTACTGCTACTGATAGCCAAGCAATTAATGCGTTTCTTCCAAATTCGTCAAGGTCCAAAATTCCATGACTGGAGACCATGGAGCCATCTGGTCGTGTTACTACAAGGTGAGGAACAGATGTGACCCCATGTTTGTACTGAAGAGTGATTATAATAGGGTCGCCAAACAAGAGAGTAAACCAATTAGCTTGTTCCGCATAACTGATGCACATGTCCTCTCTGGTTTCATCCATGGGTATATTGATAACTTCTATGGGCAGATTCTTAAATCTCGCGTTTTCATAGAATTCGTAGAATTGTGACATGATATTGTCACTCCTGTCGCTGTCTCGCATGGAGAAGTATAGTACTAGGATATTAGCACTATCCAGCAACCATTCTATTGGTACCTTTTCGTAATTGTGGTTGTAAATCTTGGCAGTTTCAATCCAGTTGAACGGTGGTAGTTTGCTTGGGTCCTCCGTACCGTACCATTTCTTGGTCCTCTTATGTTTATTATAAGGCGTTTTAATTGAAATATGTTTATTTAACTGTTGTGCTCTGTACTTGTTTACAGACATGGTTTATTAGTTGTTTGTAAAATTAACTAAAAAATACAAATCACTCTTACAAAAATGAATGAAATTATAGAAATGACAACGTCAGATTGACTATTTATTTATAAAATGTTGTATTTTTGGCGTGGCTTTTGAAAAGTCGTTTACGTCCAAACTACATTGAATTTTCTTATTTTCAAAAGTTTCCAAATTTTTTAATTTGGCGAAAGAAATATTTACTGCCTATTAGTTTTTGTCCAATACAATTTTTATAATTTTTATTTAAGTTTGCCTAAAAATAACGATGAGTTTTTGAAATGACATGAAATTCCGAAGAAGTACAATTCGAAACTGACTTTTTAATTTATGATTTGTCTGACAGAAAAAATCAGCGAACCAAATCAATTACAGAATCAAAACCAATTTAAAGATCTTACTTTCACCGAAGCCAACTAATTATAGAGATAATGGAGGGATGCTCACTCAACCTGCCTCCCTTCGATTGGTTAAAGTACGCTAAACTCTACAACCACAAATATGAGAAGATCCCAAGTTGGTGGGTCAGACAGGGAGTCGATGTCATCGTCCTGTACTTCTCACTAAACAACCGGGACAACAAACACATCATGTATGACTTCTACGAATGGTATGAAAACGCTAGGTTTATGAACATTCCTATAGAAGTCATCAATGTACCTCAGGACTCAAATATCGAAGACATGTGCATGAGTTACGATGAACAAGCGAATTGGTTCACTATCATGTACAGCGATCCTCTCATCTTTACTCTCCTCTACATGTACGATGTCACCTCCGTCCCTCATCTTGTTGTGATAAGACCAGATGGCACACTAGTCTCCAGTCATGGAATCATGGACATTGAAAAGTACGGCAAGAATGCCCTTATGACTTGGCTGTCTCCAACGGCCAATTCAATAACTCCGAAGCGATTCAGCCGCGTCAAGAGAATGTTTGGACATAAATGGAGATATATTACTATTAGAGTAGGTAATATTAAGAAACGGTATTACATAAGGAAGTTTAGTAAGGGTTTAGAGCGCCGCAAGCCGTCGTCAATTGGTTTATCATTACGACTGTCAAAGTCCAGCGCACCTGATACTTTGGGTGTTATACTGCCTACTGCACCTAATGTATGTAAAAAACCTGTTTAATAGGTATCATTTGCTTTTTACCTCTGCTCTGTCTCTCTAGTACAGACAGCAACTGTCCATTGTTATGTAGGTTTAGCTTTTCCATATTGTTTGTTTATAATTTTTATCATTATGAATATCTTTAATTATAAATAAATATATTAATTTTAGGTAGGTTTTTAATACTCGTTTTAGGAGTTACGCTATGCATCTCATATTGTTATCAAGATATTCATTGTATTTATAATTTTAATGTAGAGGTAGTATTTACTGCTTATTGATTAATTAAAAAGTTAATAAAATAAAGTAATTTATGATTGAGTTTTTATTAACCGCTTGAATGCACCGATATGAGACACTATAGAAAATACATTGTGTCTCGCGTGGATCCACGTTTAGACACACGACGAGTTAAAACTAGACCTCTGCCTCGAATTTTGCAGGCAGCGGGGCGGTGGGCGGCGCGGTTGGCACTGCTTGCTTAACACCGCTGTGTTTTCGAGAACCAGTCCATTTGATTTTATGCATAAGATCTTGCCGCTCCTGCGCCGCCGCTGCCGCCGCCCCGCTGCCCGCAAATTTCGAGGCAGAGGCCTTAGTGTATCGATTTATGACATTTTCAGTAATAGCGATCATGATCCAATATGGGAATAAGAGAGATGCAATAACGACGACCAATTAGTCCATACTACGAAAATAATTAAAACTTAATTGAAAATTTAATTTCTTTCAAACGAACATTAAAATTAGCTATGATACTAAGCCCCCTTACGCACTAGCGGTTGACTGCCTAGGCGGTTCGTATCAACAGACGCGGTTACCATAGCGGTTGCATATTAAATTGGAAAAGCGGTCAACCGCAGGGAGTGGCTAGCCGCGCGGTTGACCGCAAATGCGTAAGAGCGTGAAAAAGCTAAATTAAAAATTAATTATAAATTAAGGTTAATAACAATTAAGCCGTTATTAAACAAATGTAAATTAATCTTAAACACTTCATATGGAGCTAAAAAAGTCTTCTTCAGTCTTGAAGTATTGTCCAATAAGCAAATGTTTAAGAAAATAACTAAAATATAAAAATAATCCAAGTACAGCCTTTATCAACGTGGTACTAGGAACACATGTTTATCAAAGAAGTTAATTCTTTGTCTCTTCCTTTCTGTCGCTTGCTGACCCACTAGGCGCCTTTTCATGAGGCGCTCCTTGTTCTTTTTCTTTCTTAGATCGTGTCCCATGGCGCCTAGAAACGGAGCTGTGTCGCCCTTTAGCATGCTTCCTAGCATGTTTTTTTCGATAAGTGTCTCTTTTGGGAGCTCCCCCAGCACCGATACTCAAGTATCTCCAGTTAGGACCAAACATTTGCAATTCCTTACTTACCCTTTTAGGCTGAATACTCAATGCTGACGTAGACATCCAAGTTATTAAAGCGTTCTTTCCGTACGCATCTATATCTGATATCCCATGAGCGGAGACCACAGTTCCGTCAGTTTTCAACACTACAATATGAGGAACAGAGGTTACACCATAGATGTATTGAAGAATGATTATTAGAGGGTCGTTGAACATGAGAGTGAACCAGTTGGCTTGGTCGTCGTAGCTGATGCACATGTCCTGCTTGTTATCGTCCATAGGGACATTAATTACTTCTATAGGCAGGTTGATGTAACGCGCATTCTCATACATCTCATAGAACGTTTCCATAATATTATCAGGCCTGTCTATGTCACGCAAAGAAAAACTCAACACTATGATATCGACGCCATCGGTGATCCATTCTGGGGGGACCTTCAAGTAGTTGTGGTTGTAGATCTTGGCCTCGGCGATCCAGTTGAATGGAGGCAAGTTTTCTGGATTGTTCTTACTGGTCAAGTGTGATCCTTGCTTTGTATTTCCAGATATACCCTTGCTCGATATTATGCTTTTGGCTACGTTTTTAAAGTCTCTATTAGATATACTCTTGTATGTTTTAAGTCTGTTGTATATGTTTTCGTACTTAGGTTTGTGTCCATATCTCGATGTATCTTTATTCGTTTGATCTGGATTGGGAGAGCTGTGAGACGTTTCCGGGTTCGACGTATTTTTGGACATATTATTTTAATGTATTTTTACTTTGTGAAAATTTATAGATGATTTGAATCAGAAGAGGAATGACAATTTTTTGATAGTACGGCACGTCAGCATAGCATTTTGTTTTATTTCTCGGTACTATACTCTTTACTGATGTTCTTTAAAATATTTAGATTTTGCTAATTCCAGAGATAAGTACATACCTAATCCGAATCTACTTACGGAATTTTGAGCGTTTGAACCACTGGTATGAACCTTAAATGTTACAATAAATTAATATTTATGAAATAATACTTTCAAAGCTCTATACAACTTCTATCGTGATTCTATCAGATAATAACACAGCTATAGTTAAGGACCTTGAAGATCATCAGGTGGTCAGTCTGCTCATTTGCCTCCTATTCCATAAAAAAGTAAGTTAATGAAAAAAGCATGTGAACCACATTGACTTTGACTTTGAATTTGACTTACTATCAATTATATCAAATATCCTAAATAATAATAAAAAAAATCCTAATGTATTTACACGAAGTAATGGGTGGCTAAGGAAACCCAGAGGACATACCTACTCTAAACATATTAAAGAAAATCGGAATATACAAGTACAGCTAAATCTATATATTATAACTTCGCTTGAAATATAGAAGTACCTATGATTTTGTGAAATAGTTCCTGATATGATCTGTTGCCCTGGTACAGTGGTAGAAGCTGGACTGTTTACTGAATTTTTATAGTTATTGGAAATGAAGTCTTCAGAAGAGACTCTCTTTCTATTTCTTTAGGAGAGAGGTCCTAGTAGTATCCCTGTAGATTTTTCTTAAATACCCTTGTAAGAATTATTATTGTTTATGTGAAAACAGCGCCATCTGTTGTCGAATAGAAAACAAATTCATATTTTAGTATGTTTCTGACAGGTCCAATATAGTCCATTTCTTTATACATATATTGAAATTCCCAAGATCTCAGTGAATTTAATGGGAAATAGTGTTTTTTACCTTGATCAATTCGATTATTTAGCCTGAGATCTCAGCTCGACTACCATATTCATGCGACCACGCAATAAACAAACTTAATACCATCCTAATACCTATTCCCCACGTGTGAACTCAAAAAATGAAACAGATTAAAAAAGGCGAACCTGTTCATTCTGTCAAAACAAGTGACAGCAAAGCGCGAAGTGACCACAGATTAGCATAATAATATGTTGCTTTATTTGGAGTTATGACAACAACCTGTTCTGCCTATCGACATTAGATTCAATAGATTAAGTTACTTCATTGTTGGTCATTAATATTATTTATCGTCATTATGTGTCAAATTAATATTCTCGTTATTATATAATCTATCGTTCGATAAAGTCAATGAGGCTTGTACTAACATGTTTAAATTCATTTTTAATGTGTGTTAAATGGACTGACACTGGTATGGTTTATAGATAGTGTCAACATCATGATAGATGTTAATTAATTATTTACCAATGTTCGATTTTATCTTGAAGTAAGAGAAGTTAAGTAATATTAACTTTATTTGAAATACAAAAAGGGACACATGGTGTCATCTATCTATAGAAAAAAGACGAAATACAAACTAGCAATAACATCTCATAACAAATTTTATACGATATGATATGGATATAATAAACCTAGCGTCTTTCAATTTTGCCTTATGTTTTTAAGAGTCCAGTTAGGCCTACTTAAGTATTGCTTAGACTAGACCAAAGCAGAGACCTCTTGCTGGGCAGTTATTGCAATCATTCGAATAACACGCGACAAGAAAACCCGAATTGAACGTAACATGTTGTTAACTAGATGCCATAAAATATGAATTATTTCGACATTATAAAAAACAATAAATAAGAATATGTATTACACAATAACAGAACATGCTTCATTGTATTGTCACATGTATTACAAAAACTAAATTAATAAAAATGTTAATGTGGCTTTGGCTACGTAACTGAACCTAACAAGTTTGACAGCCCGCGCAAAGTGCAATAGACAATCGCTTAACTTTTTACCACACAATGGACAAGATCGCACCTAACATTCAGCCAGAATCGATTAAGTAATAACCCGTATTTAAATCTAGATAGACTAAAATTGCACCATTGTGTTTGATGAAGCCTAGTTTTTATCTAGGTTATTATTATCTTGCATTGCAAGTGCAAGTACTGTTTCTTAAGACTTCGCCATCATAAATAACAATTGATAATCAAGTGATTTATGCTCGATCAACTGGTATTATTTATTATTTTATTATTATTTATTTATTATCACACTTACATCTATCATTACAGGTTTAACCTAATGTGACAGAGAAGCTACTTACATTAAACAAAACATGCAAACAAAGTTAATAACAGCAGTATCCTTAGACCAAACATACATACAAGGACATAAAATATATATAAATTAAAACGAAACTACAATACTAAATTATCCTAATAACATTAATAACATATCACCGAATACGCTACCCTTGTGAAGTCACTCACCGAACAGTGAAACAAATCGATCTGCTCCGCTATTGCATTTAGTGTGCGTATCGCGCGTGTCATCGGAGCTTGCTTAAGAAGCTCGGTGCGGGCTGTTGGTACCACCAACAACTGCGGCCGTCGCCGACGCCACACATACCTATCCGGCACGCACAGCCTAAGCTCAGCCAATATCCTCGGATTGTGACATTTTCCACGTAAAAGATCATGTAAATAAGTAGCCAGCATTACTTCTCGCCGAGCTTCTAGCATATAATAACCTACTGTACCCAGCAAATACAATGTCGGATACAGCAGCGGATATCCCGGGTACACTCCATATGACTTTAAGTAAAGAAATCTCAAGAACTTGTTCTGAATTCGTTCCAACATGGTTGCGTATTTGGCTTCATTTGGACTCCATATAGCCGCATTGCATTCCATATGACTTTTTACCAATGCTTCATACAAAGCCTTTAGTGCTTTGATATTGCTGAAGTCATTGGCCTGCCGCAGAACAAAACCTAAATTACGATAAGCTTTCTTACATACTTTTGTGATATGCTTCCTAAACGTTAGATCCGCAGTGAAAGTTATCCCCAAATCTCTAACCTCGGTTACACGCTGTATAGATTGCCCTTCCATGTGATATGAACAATGACTAGGGGTACGAGCCCGAGTGAATGATAAAATGGAACATTTTTCTATGTTAAAATACAATTTATTTTGCCTACTCCAATCCATAACCCTATCCAAGTCCCGCTGCAGCAAGCTATGATCTGTATTTTTATCTCTGATAACCATACTTAGTTTAAGATCATCGGCAAAGAGCAGACATTCGGAGTCTTTAACTATTTTAGATAAGTCGTTAATCATGAGAACAAATAGTAACGGACCCAGATTACTTCCTTGGCTGACACCAGATCTTGTGAAGTAAGGCTCGGAATGATATCCGACACAGTCGACAAATTGACGTCTATCGCTCAAGTAACTAGCGAAGAATTTTAGCGTGTGAGGAGTGAAACCTACATCAGCCAGCTTACAAAGCAAGACGTCGTTATCGACCGTGTCGAACGCTTTTCGGAAGTCTAGGTACGCAACGTCTACTTGTAGTCCAGCATCCACTGCCGGAATGACAGTCGCCATATGATGCAGTAGATTGGTTGTCGTACTCTTTCCCGGGCGGAAGCCGTGCTGCGCTTCGGATAAGTAACTACGAACCTGTGCGTATATATTGTTGTGTATAGCTGATTCGAATACTTTTGCAGGTGTTGAAAGAATAGCCACCGGTCTGTAATCACTAGCATCTCCACCCAATTTGCCCTTTGGTATTGGTACAACACGTGTCAGCTTCCAACGGTCGGGAAATTTCGCCTTTGCAATGCATATGTTAAATATATGCAACAACGGATCGACTAATGTCAGCCTACAATCTTTAAATATAAAGGGAGGGATGCCATCTGGCCCAACCGAGCGCTTAGCAGGAAGATGTGCGAGCGCGCGCCGCACTTCTAACCGGTCGAGACGGCCGAGATGCGTCCACGCACCGGCAGCGTTCGGCGTCCCCGAAGCACTCGCCTCCGCCACATCCAGAGCGGCCGGTGTCGTGCTGTACACTGACTGGAAGAATTGTGCGAACTCGTTTGCCCACTCGTGGTCTGCCAGTAACTGTCCTCCCTTAATTAATTTATATTGGCTAGTGTTGCTCCGTTTCGATCTCATAAAGCTCCAAAAAGTTTTAGGATCAGAAGCCAAGTTCTGCTGTACGCGGTCACGATAACAATCATGCGCCGCCCTAGTGTCGGCTTTAACTTTTGCCCTGCATCGCGAAAACGCCTCATAATCAACAGGTGACTTGGTCTTTTTATATTTTTTGTGAAGATGGTGTTTAGAAACAATGGTTTTAATGATCTCAGATGAATACCAAACTGGATAATTTCGTTTATTACGTTTAGAATTCGTATTTTTATGAGGTATACATGTGTTAAAAGCGTCTGTGATTTTATCATAAAAAAAATTAAGCGCCAAATCAGGATCCTCAATACTGTAGATATCATTCCAATCTACAGTTGAAATTATGTAATACAAATAACTATAATCAGCTTTAGCAAAATTCCACTGTTCAAACAATACACGGCGGTCATGAGTGCTACTTAGAGAGGGCAGAGGCTGCGAAGATGACGAGACCGCAGCCGTGGAGACCGCAACGACTACCGCGAGTGGTGGATGATACGCATCCACTGGTTGTAAACCCTCTGGCTCTGCCTCGACCGATACATTACTGCGCCCGCTCAAAACCAAGTCTAACTGTCTATTATTACAATTTGGTACCCTGTTACACTGAATAACTCCACAATAGGCCGCAAAATACTCATAACAATTACTTATATTATTATTGCACGAAAATAGATTAAAATCTCCTAATATTATTATGTTATTATTATATTTGTTACAAATTGTTTCTAAAATTCTAAACATTAATAGGTACTCATCCTCATTCGTTTGTGGTGGAATATACACCACACAACAAGTAAACAGAAACCTGCTTTGTTTATAAACATTAGCACAAATTAATTCAAACTTATATTTACTAATGTCAATACTATCTGGTATTTGTACCTGTCGTATTTCAAACCTCGGTGTGGCCACGAGAAGCACGCCGCCGTGTTTGCGTCCGTCGGTACGGTCACATCTCAATATTTGATATCCTGGTAATATTAACTCAGCGTCGTAGATAGACTCATTACAACCAGTTTCTGTGATCGCAAATAAATCCGCATCTGAATCTTCTAGTAAAAATAAAAATTTAGAAATTTTTGTTCTAAGTCCTCGAACATTCTGGTAAAATATCTTCAAAGGTCTACTACATTTTTGTTTGTGCATAGGTTGAAACTGGAGTTTGGCGTCGAAAAAAGATCCATTCACTAAACTCTGTGTTTAGTGGCCATACGTCTGAATTACACAATTTGTTGAAATTACTTTCTATTACACCTATTTTAAAGGAGGCATAGTCTCTTTCAGTCTTTGGTTTTAGTTTCACAATAGATATTTCTGTGTCATTTCCCAGTAAATTCTTATTATAAGACAAGAAAGCATAATTATAATTTGCATAAACCGTCATTAACATATTATTGGCTAATCACTAAATAGATAATACTATTCATTCCTTGTCTAAGTTCTAACTTATTCCATTGTTCTATCTACGACACTGGCGCCATCTATTGGCGAGTAGCTGTAACTAATTTACAAGATCAATTCATTCTTAATATAAGATGACATTATTATATTGAATTGACGATTCGTCCAAGAGCTTTCATACAAAACAAATTTTATGGATGACCATAATTGTTTTAAATAGCCTACCTACATGAGATTTGTGGAGACTAATACAAATAAAAGATTAAACGATTAAATGTTTTACCACAAACAGTAATCGCAGACGCACAAACCTGTGTCAAGTCCCGCCATATTGGTATGTGCAAAAGCATAAACAATAACGCTTGTCGTGACAGAGAATACATTAAAATAAATGGAGAGGAATAAAACACGCACACAATAAGCTAGTTACTTTACAAGGAACGATATTGCTAGTCTCAATAATGGCAACGTTCCCAGTTACCTTTTTTAAGTGAATGACCCCTATCGTAAGGGGATTATCCTGTTTTAAGTTCAAATGGAAATACTTTTTGTCAAGTAATACTTAGCTACAGTTGTCAGGGCATAGAATATAAACATAGATTGAACATTTTATTGTTTTATTTGAATGCAAACTCATTTACAGAGCAAGGAGATTATGACAAACCTCTCTTTTGTTCTAAGTCCAGCAGTGAAAATGAATCATTTTTATTCATTTGACTTACCAGGCACTCATATCTTTACAGGAGCTCTTCGTGCCTATCAATACTAAAGGAGAACTATACGAGGTATGCCCGGAGGAGCTGTCGCCAGCGGAGTGGGAGCCCGCGGTGGAAGGACGCGGGGAGGTGGCTCCCGACGTGGCTGCGCGGGCGCACCGCCTACCGCACTTGCTCAGCATATGGCGGCTGCCGACCAGGGTGCGCCTGTTGGCAGGGACCGTGCCGATTGAGATGGCACATGATGTTGGAGGTGAGAAAAGTCTTAAATATTATTAAAGAAAAATATAAAGTTTGATTTAGTTGCGCAAATAAATACTTATAAATGTGCTGTTTCCAATTCCAGATGACCTTCTACTGCGGGCGGCGGTAACAGAACCAGTTCTCGTGATGTGCACCCTCCCGGAGTACGGATCGATGCCCTCGAGCCCGAGCAAGCAGGTGGATCCTCGCTACCACGCCAAGGAAACTCTACAACTACTTCCTCTCAACAGCACCATCAAAGTAAGACGTACGCAGCTCGGTTTCGAAAACGAGAAACGAATGTTCCTCTCCGCACGCCTTCAAAAAGCTCTAACCTTCTGTCAACTTAATGTTGACAACTGGATCAGGCAGATTTCTTACGCCAACTCAACCGTGGTCGGAAAAGCGAAAACGGCCGAAGACCTCATCAAAGAAGACCACGAACCTGTTAAGTTTGAAAAGGAAAGAAAATTCACTTTACAAGGTCTCAAGATTGACACATCAAGGTTATTCGGCAAAAGCGAAAAAGTTTTGAAAGATATTCCGGACGAAACCGAGGGCTCTATTATATTTTTAAGTAAAAACGAACTTGAGCACATGAACTACGACGTTTATAGCGACGACGAAGGAAAAGATGATAAAGCTGATGAGAAGATTGAACAGGAACAGTTTTCTAGTGATAAGATGCAAGTATTTAGGGAAGATTCTGGACATAAAAAGAACAAATGGTTTAAAAACTTAAAACTTTTAAGGAGCACGGAGAAGCTTACTGACGAAAAGATAACAGCTATCGAAAATAGTGAGAAATTACGAGATGTCAAAGATCCTTTTGATCCTCTAGGTGAGAAACATAGTTCTATAGAACGCTACCAAGATATGGCTAAATTAATTGAAGATAGATTCGGCTGTACAAGGAAGAATGATGGTACGGCAGAAAAAAGTCATTCATACAAAAGCTTAACGACATCATCATCAGATATGGGAACAAGTCAGTGCAGTTCTAATCACAAGAAGCCAGTCTTAACAAAATCAGTCTCTGTACAAACTGGAATGCCGGACAATTCATATACGGAAGACGATAGCGGTATCAACATGAAGCACGGCCGCAAAAACCTCAGCGTCGATCAAATTAACTACTGCGGTTCTATGGAAAGTGATGCTAGCTCAGGAAGAAAGCTTAAAAGCTTGGATGAAAACATGCTCAAAAAATCATCAGCTACAAAGTCATCAACGAATCTCGAAAGAAGACAGAGGATACAGCCAGATTTGATACCAGAAAAGGCTATGGTCAAGTCCGAATCTTATAACCAGATACAAAGCTGTGAAGAAATCAACATGTTTGGCGTCGGATCTCTGTATAACGACAGCGATTTCGAAATTAATTACAAACAACACTCGTTCATTACAGAAAAACTTTGCTCTGAGTTTCACGTTAAAACTAAAAGAGTACTAAGCAAATCAACTTCTAATCTTCTTCATCCTAAGAAGTCTAGTGACAAGAAGGAAGGTAGCAACAGTAACAGTATGCCGACTAAAACCGAACGGTCTGCTGATAGTGAGAAAATTGTCAACTTCAGAAAGAAAATCGATAAACCTAGAGCCCCAACTCCTAAGTCCGAAATTGAGGAAGATATCACAGCGATCGATATTTCAGAAGAGGAACCACAAACTCAAGTTAAAATCCGTAGATCAATATCATCTATACAAAAACGAAAGCTACCAGTCATAGAAGATCTACCCTACGGGCAAGTAGCAGACGCTGTTCATGTAGAAGAAGAAAAAGTTGAGTCTGACGCGAGTTCCGATAATATTTACGCAGAGATTTGCACTCCTAATGGCAATAAAACTAGTGATGAGGAAAATTATGACAACAACATCGATGTACTGGCAACAGACCCCGTCATTTGCAACGTTAAGAAAGAAGTAATTATTAGAAACGATGAGCGAGCGAGGCAGATGATAGAAAATCAAGAAAATCCATTCAGACATATAGAAGTAGTCGTTATAGAAAAAACTACAGATTTCGATTTGGACAACTCTAGTATAACATCAAGTGATATCGATGATATGGGAAGTAAGAACGATGTGTCTATCATCGATTCTTGGGAACGAGATAAGAATAAGTCAGATAATAAAATCCACGCGATCAGATTAGAAATAACAAGTAACATGGACGAGTATCCAAATCACAACGATCACAATAATATAGAGAAAACTGAAATCTGTTTAAGTAAAGATAATTCTTTAAGTTTTAGCAACAGCATACATTTGAATGGTACATATCCCAACGAAGCCATCTATGATACTTTAAAATAGTTTTAGTTCTAGTTTAGATACACTTGCGGCCACGAAATAGTGTCTTGTAGTCATATTTTTGATGTACCAATAAAAATATAACCTACAAAATAATGTTCCCGCTTAGAAGTCACCGGAGATGTGATGCCGACTTTTTAGTTTTAGCTTTTTTCAATGTATAAATGCTTTATATTATCAGTACTTAAGTCATTTAGAGAGAATTAATTATGTGATTCCAACCAGTGAAGACGTGGCATATGTTAGGTGTAATATTAATTGGACTTGTATCACCGTGGTAAACCAATCAGATTATTTTATACTTTGGAAACTTCAGGACGTACCTAGATAGAATTGACATATTTTACCAAATAAGAAATGTTTGCAACAATTGCGATTAGACAGTAACTAGATGCAGCCGTCGCCACATATTTTTGGCAAAAGTAAAAACTGACTTTTAATTCCGTTGCTTTAGTAATAAGAGCAGAGAATGATAGAAACTTATACTCTTCTCATTATAATTATAATTAAAGAAGAGTTTTATATTGTGCCTCATCTCAATTGAGTTAAGTTTCAAGCTGGCTTGAAACCATCTTAAATGTTATGGTCACATTTATACATTAAAATTATAACCAAAATTAGGCGGCGTATTTAAATAAAATAATTAAAAACAGACAAATACCTAGTCTCCTATCAAAACATCATATTGAAAACGTTGTAAAAATTATATAGGTACAAGAATAAGGGGTGATAAAAAAACATGTAAAAATTAGTTTTTAATTTATCATTATTATTAGAAAGGTGTATACTTATTTTGACACGAAGTGTACCAATAATAATATTTTGTAAAAATGCACGATCTGTATTTGTTATGTATCTTTTTGTAGCACCTACTAATTTTTCTGTGTTTATGGTTAATGGCAGTGTTAAGGAATTTAGTTTTTGTGATACGATTTTTGATGACATGAATAGTTACGTTCAGGGAGCTTACTCTTGAATCCAATTCCGATCGATCGACATTGGTATTGTGAAATTTCGTACTCTCGAGTTGCAACACTAGCGCCTATTACATCCGCATTGCGTGATTATTGAATGAACTAAATAGTACTGAGTTTGTCTTTATATTCCGTACTCTGAATGCTACTTTAACAGCTACTATTGTGGTTGTATAGTTTTGACATTAAAATAATTATTGAGATTTTATTGGATTGAAATTGCATTGACATTGAGTTTGGTTTCAAGAGTAAGCAGCTAACTCACATTACTTGAGAAAATGTGTCCTGGGTTGATATAAGACATAATTTTTTACTTTAAATCTTTTAACAACGCGAAATGCCAAAAAAATGTAGTTAGGTACTAAATATTCTAATCGTTATGCGGTAATTCCAATACACTAGATACGTACCTACCCTAGGTATTTCCCACTTAAATTATCGCATCGTATTGAATTTATCTCTTCCGTTAAGTACTACGCACATAATTATCTATTTAGAAATCTGAATCGCTATTTTCATTCATCATATTATAAGATAGCATTCAAATTATAGAAAAAATGATATATACGGTCGAATTGAGAACCTCCTCCTTTTTTAAAGTCGGTTAAAAAGTGAATAAAATCTAAAATAGTATCACACGAACTAAGACACACAAACAGACTGTTTTTCACATCATATTTTCATCACAATTGGTGCTATAGGGTGCTCAATTTAGTCTAGATTGCTAGATAATGATTGTGCCACTACCAAAAATATAATAATATAATGTAAATTATTTGGAATCAGACCTAGTAAAATTTATTATTATTGACATCTGTTGGTGAATGGCAGAACTAAGAACATTATAGGATAAAAAATAATATCGAGATTACAAAGCATTATCAAACGTTCTAATATTATTTGCATGATATCCACAGAAATGTGGATTGTTATACAATTTCAATTACGATATCTGCTTTAATTTCTCAATTTTAAATTTAGTTCCGCTATTCACCGCTGCAGAATTAAGCGCTACTGGGTTTATAAAATACATGAATTAAATACATAGGACCCATTCCCTTTTGGTAGTGGTATAATCAACGTAATTATTATGGTATAAGTACCACGTATGACATGACATAATTGTAAAAAGCGTTTGTATTATATAGATTTAATAACATTGTATTATAATGAATCGAAATGTGCTCTCAACGAAAATGTAAAATTGAAATGTTTTGCGAAATTATACAAAATAATTATCGAAATAGATCTTTTGTTTTATTGTGGAAAAAGTCATAAACGTATCTTTTTAATACGTAATTTTTAATCAGTAGCGTCGGTAACTTGGTACGTATAATTTAAACTGTTTGCCGATAAGTGGAACACCACGTGTATAAATACGTGACGCAATCTCTTTCAATGTATGAGATACCATTGAAATGATTCAAATAGTGTTTTTACAATAATAATGCCAGATCACTGATAAAACAAATGACACGTGGTCGATTTATTACATTGTATCTACATAAATGCTATCTGCGAAATCTAAATAATAGAGGTTTTGATTGGCTCTCCAGTGAACCAATCCTACTCATCAGATCTTGCGCCTACTACAACTTTTTAGCGGGAAAAAAATTCAAAAATGTTGCCTCCCGTCCAGCTGATTCCTTTAAGAAGAGCATCAATAAACTGCCACTGCGTTGGCAAAGATGCATTGATAGCATGGGTGATTTCTTCGAATAATGCAAATAAAAAAGCACGAAAAGAAAATTATATTATATAAATTTAATTTTTTTCATACAAAACTGCAATTTCATAGGTAGACTTAATATGAATTATTTAAATGTTCTTACGCTTTAAAACGACCCATTATGGTTATAGTGCTACCTTCATTTAACCTCCCACTACCACCACAAAAATAGGATACTTTTAAATTATGTTCTCATAAAAGCAAATGTCTACTTTCGACATCATAATTGTGTCTTTAATTACATTGTTAAGTACCCATTGACTATGTTCAGTCGTAACAAAAACATTAATTACACTTCTATTAGCAAAGTTATGACTGTAAAAAATTACTATAGTTCTTATTTGTTTATGTGTGTCGATAACTTATTTAGGGCATTGGAAAAGAAATGAAAAAACAATATGTGTATAATATGACAAATATACTGTATTTATTAATCAAATAAATTACATTTAAAATTAAAAATAGTACCGACAAATAATTTCGTTAGTGGCGCGGATATAAAACAATTTTATTTTACAATTAAATTGAACTACATATAATCGAATAAAAATAAAAAACCACGACTATCCTCAGTCGCGCTTGTGCGTGAGTCCACCTAAGGTCTCAAATAAAGGAATGAATTTTCAACAACATTTATCTAAATGCTCTCGATTTTATATTCACCTTAATATTAAATTCATTTTTTACAATATACAAGAATATAGTACGTACAATTATGTTTTTTTTTTCTTGAGATTATGTTGTTTTTAAAACCTGCGCTTATGAATTAAACATAAAGTACTGCAACTTTGCAAGCTACATAGAGAGTTGGCGCAGTCGTCCATATTAGGAGATTTGGAACAGCAGCTCCTAGCATGGTGTAATATTTATAAAATTTATTGTAATTTACTACGGGGATTCGTGGCTTGAAGGGTTTCATGAAAACTTGATTTACAGCTTAGAAAGGAAACAACGTGTTTCAATACGCACCTTTATAATACCAGGCGACCAGAAACGCATAGAACATTTAACTAAGCTTTATTAAAGCCAGTTTTGCTGAAGGTGTTTAAGTCTCGAGATGAGACGGAATAAGGTACTAGGCCTTCAGATGTGATTAGAAGATAAAAGCCTGTAGGAAACTATTCAAGCCACAATGGATAGGTATTCAGTCAAGGGTGGGGAATCACAAGGGCGATCTAGGCGAGTCTTATAGATTGGATTATTTGGAACACTGCTGAGCCGCATACTACGAATATGAAGAGAGCGAGCAGCCAGGGTGCGACAGGGTATTGATCGTCCTTTTCCTGTAACAAATAAACATTCTTTATTAATAAACATGAATGAACCACCAATCTGTAAGTGCATTACTACTAAACGGCGGCATCAAATGCCAAAAACCAAGTTTGAATGCAGCATTTTTTATATTTATTTATATTTCAATGGTATAGCTATTTCAACCAGCACCATGAAAACTATTAAATAGTTCATTTATTTTAAATATTCAACACACACTGTATATAATTAATTTCACGCGCTAAGTTGCACGAAGATTAAGTTGGAATGTTTCGCCATATCGTACAACATTCCGTGTGGAATAAACAAAATGTGAATTAACATTTCAAGATTAGCCTGCAACAGGCAACTGCTGGAGTCCCATAGTCTCCTGGGTTGAAGATCGCAGTTCAAAAGGAGTGCTGCTGCTCAGTCCATGTTATATAAATGTATTATTTTTAAGGGGGTATAATCATGGAATAACTGCTCCCGCCTAGGTGAGGCGGGAGAGAGTGTCAGACTCTTATTGACTAAAAACCACCCTGTTCCTACACCTGCACTTCGAGCTGAAGCCCCGGTAACCCATTAGGTTCTCCGCGGCTCCGAATCAGCATCAACCCAATTGGTGGTCTGATGGCTATGTTAAATGTATAGTTCCTTAATCGGGCCCTAGACACCCTTGGGAAGTGTAGGGGAGGTGACAGTTAAAGTATTCTACTCTGACATTATAATTGACATAGTTCAGTAACAAATGAAGCACTTTTTACACGTTATTAGATTGACACAGGCATTTTCAATAAGTTGTAGAATACAAGTGAAGCTACAGAAACTTTCACTTTTCAAGTCACCCATGCAACAAAGTAACATTAGATAATCGCTTCACAAATTGAACAGTTATGGCATCGAGAACTAACATTCACTTTTAAAGATTTTCAAGTTTAAACTCTTTAAAAAGTGAATGTTAATTCGGATAAAACAGGAATCATATTTTATGCGGACAAAGTCGCGGACAACAGCTAGTGTTCAACCGCTTGAATGTCAGTATTGTCAGTATATGAGACACAATAGAAAACACTAGCTATGTATGTCGCGTTGATTTACGTTCCCGGCATACCAAAGGTTAATAATGACAGGACTCGATAAAATTTCTGGGTCACAGAATTTTGTACTGGAACTCAAAAAACCTCTGTTTTCTATTCAAGGAATAATAGAAAAGTCTCATTTATGTTACAGAATTTATTCCTCAAAAATAAAGCAAGTATCTATTGGCAACATTGTCCAAGTAACAATGTTACCATATTAATAATTTAGTAAACACATTAGCGGGTCAAAGTGTACCATTAATCTTTGCACTGTGTCACCAACATGATGCGAGAACTAATTAGTCTAAATTTTTACCACTGGGCCATCAAGATACAGGCTGGGGCTTTGGGGCCCATGGGCACGACGTCGTGTTTGCGTTTATATTAATTAAAAAATATATATATTTTGGGTACAGAAAATTAGTGATATTGATTGAACCTGTGATTAATATGAATGTAAGTATGCTACATAACTGGTTGTAAAAATAATATTATGAGAAAGCTCTTTTCTGCCACGCTACTTCTGGTAATGTAAGCCTCTAGCATGGCTTGAAACAAGTCGAGTTCCCCCCATAAAATAATAACGTGAGTAGGTAAGCCGAAAAACATGTTTAATTTTGTAAGCAAATCAAATAAATAATATATTCTCTAAATAGGGTAAAAATAAAGTCATTTCTTGTTTGTCAGGACCAATGAACTTATTACACTTAGGTTAGCCACTTCTCAACCAAATACAAAATTAAATAAAAACATGTTAATAATAAAGAAAAAAGACCTCTTTAAACATTATGTTACCTTGGTAGTCTTGGGCACATTACCCCTCATGGTAATGTTTTTGCTGGCAATCTCGTTGGCGATACGCATCCTCTGTTTGGGGGCCATTTTTAATGATTAGCAGGTATATTTGTCCTGTAAACAAAATAATATTAAGTTAATACAATAAGTAATTAATATTTATATCAGTCTTCAATTAGTTTACACATGGTAAAATAATGAGTAAGGTTCTAAACTGACGAATCACATTTCCGTTGCCATGACTGCAATCAGACTGCTCGTTTGGTTTGCAACTGTTTAGCCATGACTGCAATAGAACTGCAATCGGACTGCACA